AAGAAAGTATATATTGACATATTCGTGTAGCAAGTACATAATATTGTGAGGACGTAAATATACCAGTCGTGGCACGACCCTACGAACACGCTTTCTGATTTGTAGTATCGTATAGTACAGGTCCATCATGTCATTGCTGATATAATACTCAGTTGGTAAATGATATCGACATCATTCATACAAGTTCACATGCATCAGTGTGTATAGGATGAAGACTGAAGTTACAGAGATTAACAACTCACTGTCACCCGTGTCATACGGGAGATAAGACAGCAACGAACTCATTACTAGAAGGCGGCCATAGAGATACATTTGTACAGCTAAACCGTGTTACGGTAGCAGTGGCAACGAAGTCTTAACTTGAGAAGGTGTAATAACTCCTTGGTTCAACGCGTGGATGAAAAACTTGAGTTAAGTTTTTAAAACTCCGCGGTAAGTTAATCACGATTTTTGATCAATTGAGACGTGGTATATTGCTCAGTATGATATTGTGAGCATTGTGATCAGGGGTATTTTTCGGGAACATTATTTCACTCTCGCTCTACAGAATGGTTGCGGACTTGCGGTACATGCACGGAACAGCACGTGATCATCCGTGTTTTTAACTAAACACCGTGACCAGATATCTCTTATCGACTGGACTCTCTCCGTGTACAGCATATACTTAAAGGCCAAGTCCACTCCAAAAATAACGTACATGTATTTATAATAGAAGTAGACAAATCAGACAAACCAATCGAAAAAAAATTTGAGCAAAATCGGATAACTAATAAGAAAGTTATGAATTTGTAATGACATGCAAAACTTTGAAAATCACAAGACAAATTGGCAACTCACTCATGAGTCTGTGAGGTCATTGCCTCACTATCCACTAATTTTTTTTTTTTTATAGCGATATTGCAAATTTCCCATTTTACCCCTAAGAATCTTATTCCTCACACAAGCATCCGAGTTATGTTTATTGTAATATGTTTTTGCGTGGATGCAAAAACATATCCACGCAAAAACATATTACTATAAATAGAGTTATTTTTTCAGTTAAATCATGAAAAATGGGAACTTTGATAAAATATTTAACATCAGAATCAATTATCATGAATATAACTATATTAAAAAAATAGTATAACTTCTTCAAAGTTCATAAAAGATTTTGTGAAATATCATGCACGCAATATGATACAAGTCAGAAGAAGTCGGTCATTCACTCAATAGTGTCTGACAGTGAAGTCTAAAGAGTAGAGAGGTTTCCTTGCATAATTTGAATATTAGGACACTGCTAACGTTTAAATTTCACAGATAGGACATACGTGACATGTTCATAATTCCTGCAAAGCTCTACAGAATTTGATGTTGGCTGCAACTGGGACATCCAAATATCTTAGGGTTTTTGTTCTATTATTTTAGTACAGAAAACAAATTACAGGACAATATTTTCTGGACTATATACGGAGACAAATTCTCTTTTCCTTATTTAAAATTGACCATCGTAAAAGTTTCATTGACGTTATCCACGTGCTGTATATACTGCATTCTTACCATTTTGGATGGACAGTTATGTTGTTGGTTCATCCTTTTTGACAGGCTAAACTCCTTTCTCCTTTGCTCACATAAATAAATTAACGCTATATAGCACTCACTGCCTGGAAGATGCATACATGGTGTGCATGATGATATATCACCTCATTAGGATTATCTTACATCCGTGTATGAATATGATATTCAAAGACAAGCCGTATAGCTCGTTTGGTATTCATTCCACAGTTTGATCTGCAAACTGTAACAAATCAACGTGATACTTACATGTAGCATGTATGTATCAATGTGTATAATAATCATATCTCTAACTTAAAATTGACAAAATTGTGATCTTGACAATTTTTTACTATTGATGACAAGCGCTACATTCTTCGGGGGCATCATAATTATAATGCTGAATAGGCTTTCTAAAGGGAATTAAACAAACCCCTCTCCCTGTATTTACATTTCGAAAATAGATTACCCTTTTCATTAAAAATGAATGAAACAAGCTAGTCCGTTAAAATCCCAATATCCAATTTCCCAGTAGTTATATGAGTTTGTTATTTCCGATGCAGCTAGATGTAGGATGTATGTTTGGTCCTTGATATCTGTTTGTTTAGTTCTTCTTCCTTCCTGCTTCGTGATAGCTGACCTAGAATATTCGAGTATTACTGGTTATTTTTTGAAGTGTATATAGGATATGGAGAAAACATGATCATACCAGGAAATAACACTCATACAATATCTGCCCATTATTTTAAAATGCACTTGTAAAGCATAGTCTTTTAGAGTCATTCCTTGTGTATTAACATCGCTTTTCTTCAGGTTATCTTCGTACTACCGGGAAAACATAAATTCTTCGCATTATTTTACAATGTATCGGTAAGCTTTATAGTCTTTTTGCTGGTATACTGGACATAATTATTTAAATCGCTTTTAACCAGGTTTTCTTCATAATTTCTTGTTCGCTTAAGGCGATTGATGCGAGGAATGCCCAAACTTTCACTTGTCTTATGGAGTAGTACGAACTAAATCGTTCAAGAGAACTTCTCTTTCGAGAGGATCTGTGCTAAGAGAACCCGTGTTCTTCCAAGTCAAAGTTTAAAATATCTTTGATAAAATAATATAATTATCGAAGTGATGTTATAACTCTCCGCATATCCTGTCGGTTTACCGTTTTATTTTGTGTTTTACTTTTAGTCGATTTAATGTCTATTTTATGATGTATCTCTAAACGATATACCGTGTGAGTAAAAAAAAAGTTTACACCTAGAAAATTGCTAATTATTTTTAAAATCATCCATGAACAGTAAATTATTATACATCTTATGAAACAGTGTTTTATTCCGAATCATTTGGTACCATTTTTGTGTGGTATGTGTTCACGCTTGGATGAACAGGTGGCATTGTTTGCGAGAGTGCAAAAATCGACTTGCGCCAAAGTGATGACTTCAGTATGTATTATGTTGGGATTAGCGGAGTGAGAGAATGGATTGAATGTATCAAATGAAATGCATTGCATATGTTTTTTGCAAAGAGCAAAGTCACACACACCCACACACACGCGCACAAATGTTCGTTGATATTTGATATTCGATATTTGATATGTGTGGCATGATTAATTTTGTTAGGAGTGTTATTGTTAGTGTTACTGCAAATACCGAATTAATACCCAAAACCCAATTGTTTTATTCGAATATCACATAGGCAACTTTGGCGCAATTCGATTTTTGCACTCTCGCAAACACTGTCTCCTGTTCATCCAAGCGTGAACACATACCACACAAAAATGGTACCAAATGATTTGGGATAAAACACTCTTTCATAAGACATATAACAGTTAAATGTTCATCGATGATTTTTTAAATAATTTGCAATTTTCTAGGTGTAAACTTTTTTTTGACTCACTCTGTATTTAGATAATGCAATGTTTTATTTGATAAGGGCCGTGTTATTTTTTGACTGCTATATGTCTAATAATGATTTAAGTTACCTTAACAGCGCTCTCGATTGAACACTCTCAAAACCACATATTTATGAATTCAGTATTTCGCAGGGATATACAAGTACATTCTATTCAATGCAGAAAAAAAGGATATAGCCTAGTAATAGTATGGAATAAAAAAAAGCAAAACCATGATTTGTTTTCTGAGGAGTATGTCAGCCCACCACTCCAAGTACTAGTGTCAATTTCCAGCTATCAAGTTCAATATTTTATCGTTTTCATTTCCATCTCCTTAACCTACTTTCGTTCCGACTTGCATCGATTGTAAACGGGACCACTGACTACTAGGTCGCGTGTGTGAAGTGGTGAGGTAGTTCTGCATCAAATTTCATGAATGCGTATTATAGCCATGGGATGAAACTGAAATCATCTAGTGTGGTACTTGGAGAGAAATGTCCATTGGTGAACGTTATTATTATTCAAAAAAAGCATTCATCACCATCTATGCCAACCGGAGTATCAGACTGTGTTTAATTTATACATGGTGTCTTGGTAAAGCCAACCACTGTGGTGAAAATATACAATAGGCCATTTTCGTAATGTAACAACATTCAATGCATATCACGTCTTTGTAAAGTGCCTCAATACGTATTATGTCACTCACCTGTCACGAATAATTGTATTTCAATAATCAGAATGCAAATTGCATATAATAACGTGTTGTTAGGTAGGGCAAGCTATAATGTTTGTTATTCCTATAACAAAATATAATACAATTATTCATAATAGGTGAATAAAATAATTCGTATCGAGGCCCTTCACATTGACATAATTATTATGTATTAAATATGAATACATTACGAAAATGGTCTATTGGAAGGTGAGGTGTATGACGAGGGCCCCGTCTTATACAGTGAACAATATACACGGGGGCTCGGGGCGAATTAGCCCCCGAAATGCCTCAAAGAGCCCCCGAAAATCAGAAAAGAGTCCCTGTAAATATTGCATAGAGTTCAATGCAAAACAAATTTTAGAATGTTATTTTCATGCAGGCAAACTTGAAAACTAGCCCCCTAAAAATAAATATTATTTTTTTCCCTGGGACTCTTATTCAAACTGACGATTGATGAAAATCAATCGTAAGTTTGCAGTCTTCTTTCTCTTATAGTTGCGATTGGTATCAATCGCAAATAAGTTGCGTCTGATATCAACTCTTTATAAGACGGGGCCCTGAACTCCAAAAGTGCTTAGCCTAATGCTACAGTCACAAAGGTTCGTACGAACGTTAATTTCGTACGAATCTCCATGTCTTCCCAAATTTCCATTGTCTGAAAATCGTTCGTACGGCGTTCGTAGCAGTTCGTAAGGCATTTGTGACCGAGGCTTTACCTTGAGTTGTAGATTTACATGTAAAATAATTGCAACCAATTCCAGCACTGCATTATGGTTTACCACTGTTGACACTTGATTATTATTCGTTGAAGTTTTAAACCTTTTCTCCCTTCTTTTCCCCTTTATTCCTCTTTTTACCTTTCAGATTACTTCGTGATGGTCATGTAACTAGATGTTAAATCCAGCTAGCTGTTGAAAGTGCGATGACTGGTTGGCCAAGCTATGAGATCAGCTTAGACAGTGGCTAATGATAACAACTCTATTCGTATATATCGTATGGAGGTGAGTATATCTTCAGACATCAACGAAACTATAGTTAAAGGTAAAGACCAGTATTGGAAACGCCCCAATTTCAAAAAATGAAATGGAAGCTCTCACTACCAATCATGTGAAAGAATGTTTTGACTAATACATGATGATAAAAAAAATTGCCGGGAAACCGCCTACTAATTCATATATTTGGTAAATTTGTTTCTCTCATGGTCTGTGAGAGATATAGGGTAGTCCCATATACATCTTTCTGTGTATAGTGCTTGTAACTTTACGAAGAATGGGCAAATGTAATTGGGAGCTTTTTAATTTCCGATCATGAACTATTGGGGGGGGGTGCCTCTCCCCAAGAAGTGTGAAAATGTCAATATTCAGGTAACCATTTAAGGCATTCAGGCAGCGAGATGAACATTACAATTTTCTCGTATCTTTAGTATATTTTGTTGACGAAATATATGCTTACCTTAATAAAGTTATTTTTGTGTTGCTCGCAGGTGGTAGAATTTTGAAATGTCTGTAGTGGAGTGTATCTCACAGTCTTGCTTATTACTATGATAATATTTTTTTTTATAGGATATTCCATGATAGCGTGTAAATACAGTGACATGCATGACCCTCATGCTGTATCAAAACAGCATGAATATATGTAAGGTAGTGACATTGCTGTATACTGTATTGTTTCCACCACCTCTATCGAGGGAATTCTCCGGATGTTTCTGATCTCTGTAAACAATATTGTGGCTTATACCTGGGCTGGTGATATCCGAAGAAGCTTCAATCCATCACCCTCCTTTTATACCCCTCTATTCTTTTTTCTTCTTTCCTTCTTTTTTTTTTCCTTTTTATTTCTTTCCTTCTTTTCCTTCTTTTCTTTTCTTTTTTTTTTTTTAAACCAAGGTGACACGAATTTTTCCCTTAGAGTTCAATGAATCCGGAAAGAGAACAGGGTCAATGATCTAGATTCTAAGCCATCTTTGTCGGCCTTGACTAATACTACAGAGCGCAATCATGGAATACAGACTGTCCAGTTATAGTAGACCATATTAACAGCATGTTTTCTATACGTCTCACTCTCTCCCTCCCTCGTCTGCTCTGGAATGAGTCACGAGCAAGGAGAAATCAAAACTTCTCTGACTTCCCCCTTCCTATTCCTCTCCTATAGCCCGTTGTTTGTTAAAGGTAAAGACCAGTATTGGAAACGCCCCAATTTCAAAAAATTAAATGGAAGCTCTCATTACCAATCATGTGAAAGAATATGTTTTGACTAATACATGATGATAAAAAAATTGCCGAAAAACCGCCTACTAATTCATATATTTGGTAAATTTGTTTCTCTCATGGACTGTGAGAGATATAGGGTAGTCCCATATACATCTTTCTGTGTATAATGCTTGTAACTTTACGAAGAATGGGCCAAATTTGTTATCATTTTGATGATTCCAGAACCTTGCAGATGCTAGATGCTAGATGATCAACCTTTTCTGATCGATTCCACATCGTTTCTTTCACAATGCAATCGCATGACCATAAGTGGTTTTTACCTTTAAACCTCTGTAACCTCCACCATTACACCCCGGGTGCCTTGCAATAGAACCCTTCATGGTCAGTCAGGTCGGCTGAGAGCATGCATGGCGTCGTAGATGGTCAAGTGACTGGAGGTTACTATTCCCTGAGTGGCATCAATATTTACCTATAGTTGAATGGTGTCTTATGGAAAATTCGATGAGAGATGATCCTTGTATGTAAGTTAAGAGTTAGTTATATTTTAAGATGCCATTGATTTTTGTATAGAGATCCATGTGCTCTGTTTAAAGTAAAATATGCATGACATATCATATTGATATGTACATTGTAGTTAAAGTGACATGAACGTTGCATGTACATTAATAAAAGGAATTTACTCCTTTTTTTGGGGGGGGGGGGGGGGAGATATCTGGACAGATTCACCATGCATGAGTTGATATGAAGTTCTTCTTGAAGAAATTTTCTATAATTGAGAACGATTTCTCAGTCAGATATCGCTTCATCTCTGACACAATAATTGTAACAAATTTTGGCAAAGTTGCCTTGACGATACATCAATAGAATAAACACAAACTACATTTCACATTCTTGTCTTTCTTATACGCAATTAAATAGGAACGCTTTAGTTGAGATGACAACAATAATGAGATAATTATAACAGTTACATTAAGCATCGGTCACAAATGCCATTACGAATTGCTACGAACGCCGTACGAACGATTTTCAGACAATGGAAATTCGGAAAGACAATGGAAAAACAGGGAGATTCGTGCGAAATTATCGTTCGTACGAACCTTTGTGACCGTAGCATTAAATATATTCAAAGGGCCGTTATGAAGAAAAGCCATTTTATAGGAGCTGTAGTTTCTCATAGTGGCATTTTAAAAATTCTATTGCGACTCTTTTTTAGAGCTCCTCTTCGGATGTTATAATTCAATATAAACCAGCTGATGATGAGAGGAGAGGCGAAATTGTCTTTTCGCCGTCGTTATTAGCGCCTGTCTAAAGGCATTCCCTTTCCTCGTGTATCTACTTGAAACAGAATCTACCCTCGAGCTCGAGTTCATATCACCCGAATATACCATAACCATGGCAACCTTCTGTGATGGAGGCATCCGCATAGAAGTATCGACGTGAATGCCAGTAGATGTATATTGATTCCGCTGGCTTTTGATGAAAAAATTGTGAAAGTTGTTTGTCGTGATGGAAGGGGCAAAATGAAAACCGATGGACGTTGTTTCTCTGCGATTGACTTTTCCAATTTACGCCACATTTCGTTCTTAATTTTGCGAAAGAATTCCGTGAATTGTTTGCCGCGGAGGGAAGGAAAGAAAGGAGTCACTTATTTCACTCGCAGGATCTTCAATAATAATAATATACTCACCATAAACAAAGGGACAAAAAAGAAAATAGTAATGGATCGATATTGAGTGCCTCCATTATTGAGGGACAAAATATTTCTGAGGCCAACAAGATGCGTTTTGTGGAGGAGGTGAAAACAACTTTATTCCTTACAAGAACCCAGGCAACCTCAAGCAGCAGACAAAAACTAAATCTATACTTGGATGCTTTTGCAAACCATGCATGCGTTCTAAGAAAGTATAGTGCAGTTCACTTTTCAGTAAGAATCATGAAAATCAGTTACAAATTTGAGATGCTTTACTCACAAATTAATCAACGGGTGAAGATCCAGAAAGAAAGGGCGTAACATTCGTTGAATCAAATAGGGTTAAAGATGAAGTTGAGTTCTGGTCATGCGATTGCATTTATATGAAAGAAACTTTCTGGAAGCAAACCTGGGAAAATGTTTGTATGTGCGTAAGAGTTGTAGTATACTGTTATGTTGTTGTATGATCGGAATGAAAAGAAGTTGACTTGTTCTTGTTGACAGTCACTTGCACTGTACACAGGTATATATGGGACTACACAAATAAGGTGGCTGGCATGAAAGTTTGGTTCAAAGACTGTCTTCTTCTATTTCTTGTCCTTATTTTGGCTATTGGGCTACATGAAGAACAGTCCTCGTCACGTGATTTTTTTTCTTCTCAGAACGTCTTCCACTTTAACTTAAAGAGAATAAAAAAGCTCACTAATAATTTTTTCACCTTTGACCTTTCCTAGAACTCATTCTTTTCTTTAACGCCTCTCTGGCTTTTCGCAGACAGTAGTCTTTCCGTCAGTGGATAGCACAACAACGGATAAGCAATTGGATGACAACGTGTTACATTACCCGTGTCTACGCTTCAGCATGCACTTTATTTAACTTATCCAACTCCTTGTATTTTCCATCAAGCTCGTTATCAGTAACGGATGTTCTGACTTTAGAAGCTGTGATTGCAGTATACACAATACGTGCAATATAACCTCAAAGACTTTAGTAGGCCTATAATACTACGGTTGTTGGTGACTTTGTTCCTCCGTTAAAATGTCCTTCTATAAATTATGATTGATTGGCTTGCCAGTAATAAGTTATGAATTAGGAGAAGTGAGGTATTCTATTTTAAGATATTGCTGTGTGCTTCCTAATATCTACATTAATTTTTTGTGTGCAAAAGATGCATTATTTTGTATACAGTCATGTTTAAGAGTAATACACGCCTGGGAATTTTCCCCGTGTCTTTGGGACATTCATTTCCAATAACAAAATACTCGAAGTCGGCAACGATATAAATGCTACCTCTTTATGTTCATGCTTGTGCTTATGAAATCTAAAAAAAGTGCGAGATTACCATATCCGATCTTCCTCAAATTAATCTAATAAGGTCGATTGTCTTTTTCTCTCTTTGTGGCATGCTAAACATAATTCGTTTTGTTTGGTTTATTTTTAGTGATTTTTTTTAAAGGGAAAAAAGGAAGAAAAAGTACAGCTTCGCTTTCGATTGGTGGTTCTAAAGACGGTGAGCAGAGCCGCAAAATGTTGTTCTGGGATAAAATTACTTATTATCGCATGCGTCACAAAATCTCGCATGCATACAGTTGCCATTTTGCAGCTCCTTAATCAAAGGTAGCGATTATCATGTTATCCTTGCGTTCAAAGTCCTGCCCTTTAGCAGAGAGCGAGTAAACCGACACCTCCGTGTTCGCCGTGGTGTTTTTGGCGGGTTTTTGGTGTCACAGTTTATGTCACACCTCGCTTGTTTGAGCAGACGATACGCGCAGTGGGTCCCCATGGAGGATAAGTTACTGCCTCTTGTTGTTATGTAGTAAGATTTCTTTTTGCACCATATCTCATGGGATGCTTTGGCATTTTCGAGCAAACTTGCGAACAAAATAAGATCACAGTCATGGCAAACCTTTTTGCTCTGCAGTATCTCAAGAGGAAGACATTATTGTGAAGATTCTTGTAGCAAGATTTGCTATTATGATTTAACCTTCGAAAAAATAACTACGTTATTCCGTCTTGATGACATAGATTTATTTTAAAAAAGCTTCGGAGATAATGTGATATAGAGTTATAACAAAATGAACAAACACACAGAGTTCCATAC